CATACAGTACCATACCCTATGTGAACAGCTGTGCCCTCTGACAGGTGAGCCACAAGATCTCCTTGTCATAACAGGGCTACGAGGAGGTTTGCCGAAGACAAATATTTCTCTTTTTAAATCAGCCTAGAAAAACCATAACAATGGGTCAATGTATCAAAAAGCCCAGACAAACACTATTTTGTTGTTGTTTCATTCTCACTTGCAAGCAGCACAAAACAGTCCTTCATCTCCAAAAAGCCCACGGGCAAAGACATGCAGGTCTGTTAATCCACTGTGTGCCTGGAAAGCTCTTGTTATCAGCTACATGTTTTGGCCGATCCTAAATAATTAATCTTACATTTCTGACATGAATGAATAATTTTCGAATCATTTAGACACAAAATTACGATAATTATAAATGTTCAAAATGCAGCTATACAATTTATAACAGAGGAACATCAAAAGCTAAACACATAGCGAAAACTTCACCAATAGGGGGGAAAAGAGATTAGTATCTGACTTTATAGTATGTAAGAAATGAAAAGGAGACTATGCCTAGTATCTGATCTGTTCTCCTAAAAGTCTAAATATACAAAAACATAGGAAGGTGATGCCACCTTAAATTAGATTCCAAAACTTGATTGAGAAGATGTGTGTAAAACAAAACAAAACAAAACACAATACAATAGAGACTGTAAGACTGCTTTCATATAACGTAATAAAAATGCTGAAAAGATAGCATAGATGGCAGTGAAAGCACTTTCAATAAGTTACTTGATTCAAAGAACAAATTAATGGGTTTTTTTAACATCACTGTCTCACTACATGGATACTGCATGTGGTAATGACAGGGAAGGTAACATACTGGTGGGATTCCCAGCAGTGTAAATTAATTTTTATTTTTTTCTGACAGTAAGGGAAAAAAAAGGAACTATCTAATTCCGGCATAGACACAAAGTTCCAGATTGGTAATATTTGGATTATTAAAAAATTAGAAACAAGATGAAGTTTCAAATTCTACCCAAATTGTTTTCAGGCAAACATTGGTGGGAGGGGGAAGCCAATAGTAAATAAATAAGTAAATAATGTAAAATGTGTAAGATGTGATGCTCTGCTGTAAAAAACAAAACAAAAACAAAACAAGAAATAAAACAAATAAAACTACAAAAGTCATCACCTGTTGCACAACAGTTCTGGATTATTTACATCATCTCCTTGCCCCAAGGTTTATATCATCTTTGCTCGATAAAGAGTTTTGGTAGAATTCAAAATATCATGTTGCTTGTAACTTTTCAGTGATTCAATAAAGGTATTAACCAATCTAGACTTCTGTTTCTGTGCCAGACATTTGGGTGCTTATGTAATGGTGTTCTGGCAATTTTTGAAGGGCATACAACTGAGGTTTGACTAAGAGAACTAATACTAGGGCAATGTAATAAAACAGAAAGGAGTAATAGAATGTCAGTTCTTCATTAGACAGATAGGATGCCCTGTCTGCAAACAATAGTACAATACTGGCTTGTGTCTGTGTTAGTTCAGTAGGGTTCTTATGCATACCTTAGATTTGAGAAATATAGGACTGACATCTATTATATATTTTGTCTATTAGAACTTTTTAGAGTTGTTCTTCTTTAATGATGCCAGGATGACATACAAATGTACTAAAATAATAAAATGCGATCAAAACGGTAAAACTCCAAAACACACTATCAAAATAAAAACAGCACATCCTACCCAGTGAATCAGCTCAAATTGGCCAATTTAAAAGCCCGAGCAAGCAAAAGTGTTTTGAGTTGGCACCAGGACAGTTGCACTGTAGGTGCCACTCAAGGCTCCATAAAAATGAAAAATAGGTCACAACTGGAGCATTTCAACTGAGAAAACGCTATCCTTTTAAAAATAATGTTTCTGAAGTTCTTGGAGAATAACCTTGCCTGTTCATTTTAAGTCGCAGGCAAGTCAACAAATGGAGAGATGGCCCTGAAAACATTTCTTAAAAAGCCTATGCCATAAATATCAACTGCAGTTTAACAGGCTTGGGATGAGGGCTTTGCTTATAACATTTATGGGGAGGCTCACTAATATTAAAGAGCAATAAAAATTTAGATAAGGACAAGGATAAGGACTATAATATGTACTGAGATGATACTGTGTGCCAAAATTGCTCTCTGAAATATTGTTTAGAAAGGTTGTGATATTTTAATTCGGACCACTGATTTCAAGGAATCTTAGTTCCGACTAACTTTTGCTCCACTGAAGTAAGACTGGGGCATTAAGTAATCAAAGCACATTCAAAATACTGTGTCTTAAAATATTTGGATCTGATTGCATGCTTAAATTAATACATTAGTCACTAGCTAATCTGCTTTTTAATCAGGTCAAGATGCAGGCTTCCCATTTCTCAAACATCTGAAAAGGCATGCATGACTCCGCAACTCAGCAGATGCCATTACCTTTAACTTGGGTGAGTTTTTCTCCTGTCTGTATGACAGTTTGGAAAGGAGAGGGGGTGAGTGGGTAACAGCCAGCTTGGAAGTTGTAGAAAGACATTCAGAGAAAGCTGTTTTGCCTGAATGGAATGACGGACTAGAACCAAGATGGGAAGGAGAAGTGGAAGGCGCTTGTGTCCCATAGGGAAGTGAAGCTGCCTTGAACATTGAAAGAGAGACAACAATAATTGCGTGGGGAAACAATTCCAAAGGGAGAGACAAAGCACCGAGAGGAACACTGCACCACCATCAGTGAAAGGAAAAGAAACCTCCCCAACCCGACCCACCAACCGGTGTGGTTAGTAGGCTTAGTACATTTAGGACAAAGCCACAAATTAATAAGAGCAGAGGACCTGTTCTTTGTGAGCTGGGCAGGGATGTAGAAAAAGTCTTCTGTCCTTGTCTGAGCATACGCATGTCTGCAAAGAGCTTTCTGTCACTGGCTCGCAGCCCTTATCTACAAGATCAATGACTTACCGGAAAGGTGGCTAATGCCTGCTACTTTTGGCAGCAAGGCACATTTGCTAGCTAAGGAGTGAAGACATGTTTTGTCATATACATTGATCACTATCAAATTGAATACAAGCCAGTGGGCCATTGCACTGTTTTTTTTCCTGCTAGCTGACGTCTTCAATGATATGTATGTTTGTGTGCAAGAACACCTGGGAAGGTATAACCTCAAGATATGGCTGGCTATAATATATGACCAGTAGAGTATTGTTTAGCTTGGTGGGTCAGACATTGTGTAGGCCTAAAGAAAGGATTCTTGTCTCCCAAGAATCCTATATTGATTGATCAGAATCCTATTGTTTACATACACTGACAAGTAAAATGACATAAATCACACAGGTTAATTACTGCTAGTTAAGGAGCCACCACATGTGTTTCTTGTTGTACACCAGTTGTGCGGCTTGGCACATAATAAGGAACACAAGCAACAACTACTTAACTAGTAGCCATTTGTTGCTATTATTTATGCTGCTGCATATATGCCAGGATGTATAAGCAACAGGATTCTGGCCTCTATTTTAAAATAAAATTTATTTATTAATTTAATGTACACAGACAAGCATACTGTGGCATAGTGGGACACATAATGTGTACAAAACATAACATACCACTATGCAGCATTGCCCCCTGCTCCAAAACATTCCTGAGAACACACTTAGAATGTAGTGTCACATTTTCGTGAAAATAACATGATTTGGACTTCACTGTTATGGAACATGTGTGCTCCCTAGTGGGGATCTTACACATAAACTTAGAAAAAAAAGACAAAGCAAAAGACTGTGGATGAATTATGTTTCTTGCACCTTGGAAACTTCTTCCCATCATTTTCTTCCAAATGAAATTATGGGAAAAAGTATGAGTACACCTTAACTGACGTTTGGTAGGCACCAGGGACTAGACAAAATGGCTGCAGAACAAGACAAAACCTCTTTCTGCCAGCTGACCACTGCAGCTTTTTCACTAAAAAGTGGGGAGACTCTGCATTCTGTGTTAATCATACAGCTTTCCAGGCTTGTTTTTATTTACTCTAAACTAGGTGTGTGGGTCCTCAGCCTTCAGTACCACTATGTACAGTCAGGGTGTGTTTAGTTCTCCCATCCTCAGTCACTTTCTGCTTGAAATTCATTTTCTGCCTCCCCTGGCAGTCAAAAAACAGCAGGGTGTGTTGCTCTACCCGCACCCTGGTTTGCATTGCCAGAGTGATCAGAGTAGGGGAGGGAAAGGGTGAAAAGGATGAAGTGGCAGTTTAAACTCATGACAGGCATGGCAATATTTGTAATTATTTAGTTATTTCTTTTAAATAGCACTTCAGTTCTACATCATTATCATGTGAAGGGAGAGGGATAGTGGTCAAATTCCCCCCCCACCCCACGAAATGTCAGAAAGTACCACCTACCCCAGAAGAAAACTATTGAGCCCAAATCATACTGTAGCTTCCTTCCAGGCCAAATAACAACTTCTGGGGTGAGGTGGGGTAGGAGGACTTTTATTAGGAAGACTGTACATGTGGGTGAAAGGAAGGGTTTAAACCACCTTCCACTGGGTTTCGCTCTCAGTCCAGAATTGTGATAGGCTGCTTTATCAACCTATTATGTATAAGTGTGTGTTTGTGAGGGTGGGTGGGCACCCCCTCCACACCCCTATTTGTTTGAACAACAACTCTCAACAGTTCCCAGCCAGCATGGCCAGTGGTTCTGGGAGCTGTATTCCAAATGAAATGAAATGAAATAAAAATAACATCTCCAAACCTTGGAAGAAAACTAAGAGTTTGCCATTCCTGGCGAAAGAATGGGAACTAGCTGTAGGAGGAAGAAAGGAAATCCAGTCGGGGTAATAATACAGCACATTTCTTCCGATCTTCAGAAGAAAGTTGTGAGAATAACAGAGGCTTTGTATGTTAGTGGGCTTATAGAATTCTTGAAATCTATAGTAGAAAGGCACATGCAGAAACACACAAAATAGAAAGGTTAGACTTGAATTAATGAGTAAATGCAGGAATTCCATCAAAGGAAGTTTAAATACCTCTTTTTTAGTATCTGGTGAACTGTCCCCTTCCAAATATACCATAGGCTCTTTCTGAATTGTGAACAAAGACTCTGAAGAGTCATGGCCTGTCTCTTCCTCTATATGAAGCCTTGCTAGTTGTTCTGTTACATCAGGGGCACGTCTGTAGAAACCTGAATCTTTACACTTTGACTGGCCCCCTTGGATTATCGACAGCAGCTCTTCACAGATTTCTTCTTCCTGTTCATCAATCTCTGTCAGTATTTTGGGTACTGGGCCTTTTGGAGCACCTGCTCTTCCTTGTGCTTCTGGAGTCATGTCTGAGATGTTTTTCCTTTCGTTGATAGTGGAGGTTCCTCTCATATCTTTGAAATTGTTACATTCAGGCTTATACGCTCTGCTATGAAACCGAGTTGCTGGAGGAGGTGATTTACAGGTAGATGAAGGAAATGACTGAGGTGAAGATGGAGGTTCAGGGAACGAGTGGGGAGCCTTTGGTGAGGTAATTGGAACGAAATGGCCATGCTTTACTGGTGGAGCAAGATTATCTGAGAGACCTGGTACACTTTGTGAATCTGTTAGAGCTACAGAACTGAGTTCCTCTAAATCAGAAAGAAAGCTTTTAGGAAAAGGTGGAGGAGAAGGGGAAGGTGTGCTTGGAGATGAAAAGCCAAGAGTCAGTGACAACCATTCATCGGTGACAGCCTGAAGATGCTCTTTATTAGATTCTGGACAAGAAGAGGATTGGTACCTGAGAGGAATGGATGTTGTTTTGGGATCCAACTTGAGAAATAAGGGAAAGCATAGGAATTAAAACATGATGAAGAAAAAGCATCGGGCTCATATTATGAGTGCTACCAATTATTTTTTTTAAATATCCTGTGTCATCTCCTGGCAATAGGATATTATTTCATTGAGCATAAATGTCTGAAATCATTAGCACATGAAATCAGAAGAGCAGAAAGCATATCTGAAAAGTGAAACTGTATCAGGTTCTTGCCCAGGGCTTAAATGTCAAACATCAAGACAGATCTGAATCACCAAGTTCATGAAATGAATTTGATCCATGAGCGTCATGTGCTTTGCTGTCCTTTAGTACAGCTGTCTATGACTAACAGCCCAGATGTGATTACCATAACCTCCCAAGCCATAGCTGTTATTATATTGAGATCATAGTAGTATTGTCTAAAAAAAAGAAAATACTACTTGGATTGGGATACTGTTAAATACAAAATAAAGTTAATCTGGGCAATCTCTAGCTATACACAAGTATTCGAGCTTTTTAACACCTGACCTAGAAACCATGCAACATCCTAAATGTAATCTTAAACTACATGTATGTCCCCTGCAATGACTCAGCACATCTTTTAATTTAAGAATAAATAGGAGTTGACATATAATTACATTTCCTTTAAAACTACACAGCATTCATATGCAATTTAGTGCACATTGTAGACAAGAATTGTAAACATATAACTTTATATTTGTAATATCATAGCTAGATGAACCACATTGTAAAATGAATTATTGATTGCAGGTTCCTTTTGTAAAAATGGCAGAGGTGGAATTCATACGTATATCGCATCGGTGGATATCCATTGCTTCAATAAATACTGAAAATGTAGTTTTTGTTGTTATTAATTTTCAACATTAAGCATTTGGGGAAAAAAGAACACCTTTGAGATTGTTCATAGAAGAATTGACCAACTCTAGGAATGTAGGAACCTGCTGCCTTACACTGAGTGAGGCCACTTCCCTATCTGGGCTCAGTATTGTCTACACTGACCGGCTGCAGCTCTCCAGGATTGGCTTTTCCAATATCTGCCTCCCAGATTAAATATCTCTCCCCCCCCCCTAGCACCTTAAAAAGTACATGTCCTTCACTACCAATTTGGCTGTGGACATTTCTGATGTAGCAGGTGTCTCCAGCCCTATCCAGTCACTACAGTATCCAGCACTGTTAACGTGGTTATCAGAAAGTGCCCAGCCTCATCACCTCTACCATCACTTTCTCCTCATAAGTAAGGCTGCAATGACATGATCAAAACTGTGAGAATTGCAGCAGCTGTAAAATGGATTAAATTCACACCTTCTTTTACTGATCACATGATGTAAAGGTCAATTCAAATCAATCTGGCCCTTTCTGCTCTCAATACAGAGTTTTACTTCCTCTGTTGCTGGTCACGTCTCCTTTTTCAAAGCCAGTTGATTCGAACAGACTTTCCCCTATGAGATCAGTTATTTTGTTCTCCACATGGCTGGTACTTGTGGTGTAACTTTGGGGTACTATTATGGGCCTGATGCTCTGGAGAGCAGAAACATCCACCTCTGGGATCTTTCTCCCTTGTCAACCCAAAGGTTTGTTTTTTTTTAAAATAAGCTACCAAGTTTAATGCTAGATCATCTTATCTCTGCATTGATATTTTGTTTAGCACTAGATTACCTCTGCATGGACAAAAAGAAAAAGGATACAAATCAATATGAAACAGAAACAACTCTGAGAAACTATCATAGACTATTTTGTTTCCATAGTATGTGCGTATATGTTTGTATGTTATGGAGAATTTTGGAAATTATCCATTTCCTCTAGTGCCATGCAACATTTTAAACAGCCATCAGCTTTACCATGAATGATGAAAGGAAAGCCAGGTATTAGCAGTGGGTGGGATCAAAGGAAAGGGGGCTGTGGTGTGGATGAAACCTCATCAGATTGAGGGGCCAATGTGGACACTACTGAAACAATCCAAATGGGATTACCTAATCTGAACAGAAGCATAAAATAGGCTGTGAAACAAGCTGCAGCATAGCTCTGATTCAGCATGCCACTGTAATCACAGCCTAACACTAAGACTGAACAGGGGAAATTCCTGCTTGTGTGTAAGCTCTACAGATTGCACAGAGAACATAATGACAGAGGTGGCAAGGGCAAACACTCCCATCTAATGCTGTTAACAACAACCAGCCTCTACAACAACTCTGCAAGGCTGCTGTTGCACGCTTTTCCCTCAGTCCTTTTTCCCTGCTGGCTCTTCAGCTGGTATGGAAGGCCCATGCACACATTTGGTGTCATGGGGTGAGACTGGCCCACTGCTTTGCATGGCTCTACTCACTGAAGACTCCTGCTAAGAGCACTGGCAGCCTCAGGGTGCATGGGATGGGGAGGATGAGGAGGATGCCAACGAGGTCTACATTTGGGAGGTGTGCATGACATGTGGTATTATGACATCCTCCAAGGCAAGTAAGGCATTGCCCACAAGGCTGGGCCTATTTTGAGGGCCCTTTTGAAAATGGTTTGACAAAGAAAGAAAGGGAGATAAATGGGACCTGAATTGCCTCTAATATATAGCTAGAGGGCACATAGAATTGTTTCTTGAAAGAGTTTGCCAGTGATGTTTTAATGCTTAAATGTGAAATAACAACAGAAAAGGGGAGAAGAAGAAGAGAAATTCTTTTTGCAAACCTCGAAGCTACTCCTGTTAAAACCTTTTTAGTTTACATCACTTTATAGGCTTTCTATAGATCTGAAATGATTATGAACTATGACACTTAAAGTGATAATAGTACTAACACATAACACATAACACACATATACAGGCAGAACGTTTTCAGTATTTTAAGGGAAGCAACACTCTGTCCTCTCTTTTAGACTCAAATGTTTTACATGGAAAGTGTTTACTGATTACTAAATTCAATGGTGCACAAGCATTTTCAACCCAATGACATCCGCATTATGTCAATAAAAAACCAAGGAAACTAATAACATGTTCTAAAGATAATATCACATCCAAATAGTTTATTGTTGCATATCCTTTGCTTAATATCTGACATTATGTGTAGTGTTTTGCTTAGAAAGAAGTAGAACTTTGAAACGGTAGAAAAATAAGGAAAGGAAGTACACATTTTCACTATGAAAGCATGAAGATGTGAAATCAACAAGTGCTACATTTATGATGGTTCATCCCTAAGAAGGAATGGAAAGAGTGCAGAATGAAATCAACCAACAGACCACCGACTGATGTTGGATGGACAGCTGTTGCCACCTGTTCTGGTTGCCCACAACTGGAATATTTCTGAACAAAAGTGAAGTACATACAGCATTGGCATCACCTACGAATACGAATGACCAGATAAGGAAAGAGCTGAGACAGTGTATGTATGATGTTCGTGCAGGGATAGTTGACATTGCTTCATCTAGAGTCCTGCTGTTTTTATTGAAAACGGCCCTATGGTGAGGGTGTAGTGCTGGAAAGTAGCATTGTTAGAGCACAGATCTCTCCAATTAGTCAGAGCAGAAACAGTGGTTACAGATAACCCATTATTAGAGCTGAAATAGTCTTTTGAATCTGCAAAATGTAACCTCATGCTTAAGTACTGATGACCAGTAATTACACTCACCCACAAAGCAAGCCAATTTGCAAGCTCCAGGAAATGAGAGACAATTCTGCTGTGACTTTCACACACAAACTCTTCCAATGGCAGGGGCGAGGTATCTGTAATATATTTTCCTGCCTTAATGGCCACTAACTATAAAAGCAAGCACTGAAGAGCTAGTAAATTGGGGTTATCTCACATTTTTCTGCTTCTTCCAGTCTTTAGATAAGGGTCACACCAGCCTATTCTGTTCTTCTTTAAATATTATTCCTACTGCTACCCTTATTATGTTTGTGTAAGTGCTTGCAAGAAATAATTAAAAATGTTTCAGGCTGCTGTTCTATATATGGTCATGTGGGGAGTTATGCTGAGATGAACAGAACCTATTGCTCAGTAAATATGGGTTGGGTTCAGGTTGCCAGTCCTGTTCAAGGTTGTCAAGTGAAGCACGTCTATGGTATTACATTTAACTGTGCTTTCAAAATATTGGTTTGAATTATATTACTTCCATGATTTCATTTGAATTGTTGCTCATTGGGAGAACTGCTTACATACAGTATATAACAGGAGATATTCAGCTTCCGTAAGAAGGCTGTATAATCTATAAAGTGAAATCATGTTGTTTACCTAGAACTAAACAGTTCAGTAAGAAGGTGAAGTGGAAGCAGCTTACACAACAGTGGCAAATGATGTAAGGTTTCCATTTGCTTTTTATACAGCTACTATCAAAACAGTATTTTGACAACCAAATTGAAAAAAAAGGCAAGGAAACCATTAAAAAAAGCATGAAGGCAACATGAGACGGAACAGAAAGAATGTCATATATTCGTTACTTGTGATGTATGCTTGGAAATATGTAGTAATTTTATTAACATCTGCACTGGAATACATGGTTGACATGGAGAACAGAACAAAGCCATCCTTACCTTAGTTGAACCTAAATGGTGTATTCTGTCACTAGAGTAGCTCTGGGGTATTGGCGGAGCAGGACAGTCATCGACGCCTTTGGCTGTGTTCTTTTTGATGACTTCTACATAAGACACGGGGAAGATTCCTTGTCTGTTGGTTCCTGGTAGTTTGCCTTCATACCAGTTTTGATCAACCCGTCTAAGGAGAATTACTCTGTCTCCCTGTAAGGCAAAACTCGTTGAAAGTTGAGAAATGACAGCTTTATAGAGAACAGCACAAGTTACAGCTGTGAGAAATAAGGTCCCGGGCTCAAAATTACTCTGTCTCCCTGTAAGGCAAAACTCATTGAAAGTTGAGAAATGAAAGCTTTATAGAGAACATCTAACCTTATAGCACAAGTTACAGCTGTGAGAAATAAGATCCCGGGCTCAAGGCTCACCCCAATCTGGTGGACTCTGGATCAAACCAGACAAGGAGGCACCTTGCAGTTAGAAAAAGCATGACGGACTTTAGAAAGAAAGGTGGGGCATATGGTGGAGGGGAACTGATACAAATTGGGACCAAGGGATATGCGAGGAGATTATGTTCACTTTTTGCTACTGCTGTTGCTATGATCCAGGCCAGTGCCCTGGTTTTTATGATGTTTGCACTAGGGGAAAAAAGTTTAATTTACTCCCAAGCACCTCACATAAGGATCACTTAACATCCCTTGTTAGTACTGCACTGAGACAGAAGAGAGAAAAGGACAGTGAGAAAGAAGAGGATGGCACGAAAGAAGAGAAAGAGAGAAAAATATGGTAGGAGGAAGAAAGAGAGGAAGAAGTAGGGGGAAAGTGGATGATAGGGAGAGAGCAACAGAGGGAAAAATGGGTGGTCCTGTTCAGAAATGGGAAAAGCTCCTTGGTTGGACTACAACTCCCAGAATGCTCTAGCCAACATGGCCACTCTCAGAATACTCCAGAGTACAAGTCACAGCCTACCCTAGCAAAAGTACTCTGTGAGTGGTGGTCCATGCAGTTCCTTTCACCATCTCTGGCCCTGCCCACCAACAGCATGGAGACTCAGAGAGACTGCTCCCTGCCCCTGTTTTCTATACCATTGCCGCACACCCCCAGTGACCCCTGTGTATTTGTCATCTCACACAAATTCACCTTTGGGCACAACTTGTGCTTTTTCCACTTTTTGCTGCCATCAGAGGATATTATCCTCACTATATCAATTAAGAATCTCACACCCTTGCTGCCAAATAAAACCAGGTTTATTTAAGGATAAATAAGTGAATCACAGAAGGAAAATCATGGATGTTATATTAGTATTCATTCATTAAACATGGATTTGATTACATGTATGATTGCTTGCGTTCATTTGCTTTAATCAAGATCTCAGTACAGAGGTGCCTCGCTTAGCGACAGCTCCGTTTAGCGAAGAAACCGCTTAGCGATGCATTTTTTGCGATCACAAAAGTGATCGCTTTGCGATGTTCTCTATGGGGTATTTTCGCTTTGTGATGATCGCAGGGAAGCGATCATCGCAAAGCCCCCATTTTCGCACAGCTGATCGGCGGTTTCAAAATGGCCACTGGGAAAAAAACATGGCCACCCACTGTGTTTACGGACGGATTCCTTGCTTTACAGGCACTGAAAATGGAGGCGCTATGGAGGATCTTCGCTCAACAGTGAGTTTTAAGCCCATAGGAACACATTGAAGGGGTTTCAATGCGTTTCTATGGGCTTTTTAATATCGCATAGCGACATTTTCGTTCTGCAGCGATTTTTGCGGAACAAATTAATGTCGCTAAGCGAGGCACCACTGTATATTTTCTGCCTATCAATGTACTTCCAATTCCTTTTACCTCTTTAATACTCTCTAACTAACCAACTATCCAATCTCTTGTCTTAACACTTCACAGTCTTCTCTCTCTCTAAAAGCTTCACCATCTTTTCCCTAACTCTCTATCTCTGTCACACTCTGCCTCTCTGGCACTCCCAGTTCCCTTGACTCCGCCCCTTCCGTCCTGTCATAGGCTCCTGCACTGGAGCTCTAAAATGATTGACAGGAGTGACGTATGGACTGTCCGCCACAACCATCACTAAAAATTTTTTCCACTCAACAGAAAAAGGCTTCCCAGCCTTGGTTTATTGGACAAAAAAAAATTACCTTCCTTACTGACAATTCCACATTTGTATCTGCATTGAAATTATATTTGGCAACAGCTTCTCCAATCTCTGCAATGTGTGCTGGGGGTGGTGGCCTGGCTGGCTGTGCTTTTTCTGGGGGAGTAAGTTTCTGGGGGAGAAAAAAAGAACATTTTTTTGCTCTGGCCAGTTTATGGAACAATTTTCTAAAACTAATACAGAAGAAAGGAATAAACAACAATACACAAACAAACAAACCTCAACATAAGAAATAGGGAAAATTCCAACTCGTCCGTAATGTTCGCCCTCATACCAGTTTTGATCCACCTTCCTGAGAATATAGACAGTATCTCCTTTCTTAAAAGACAGCTCCCTGTAACAGATATTTATAAAGAATGATATGTTTTCTAAGGAAATCTGTAGTTCAAATGCCTTTTTTAAACATGGTTATATAATATAACATATAACATATAATGTTAGTGAACATTATATACCCTATTTTTTGCACCATAAGACTCACTTTTTTCCCACAAAACAGGGGGGTGGAAAGTCTGTGCGTCTTATGGAGAGAAGAAAACAGATTATATTTTCCTGTTTTCTTCTCCTAAAAAATTGGTGCGTCTTATGGAAAGGTGCGTCTTATGGAGCGGTAATCTCAGTCAAGGAGATTTGTGAATACACAGCAGTTTAGCCCTATGCTTCCTAAAGGCTTAGTGCAAAAACAATAGTTTGTTATCCTTTTCTCTAACCAGGATTGCCTGGTTTAACTATAGTTAAGATCTTAATTACCATTAAACTATGGTTCATAGAGGACCAAGGTGTCTGTCTATAAAGAACAACAATCAAAACAACAGTTTGCTACATTCATGTTATGTTTTCAATCCTGTTCTTTCGGTTGCCATCACTTCCAAGGATTCTTTTAAGATGCTTTTTAGATTGTGTATTTGATTGAGTGGGGACTTAGATGCTTTTATGTGTGTGTAAACCACTCATGGTAGTGGCACACTGCTAGATGGGCAGTATAAAACTCCAATAAATAACATAAAACAAAATAAAAACAAACAAGAAAGTTTAACAATTGCTTGAACCACAGTTTATATTGTGCAGATATAAGAGTTAACCATTGTTACCTCAAACCATATTTTGCAAAGACATCTTAAACCATCTTAAACCACTTGCGCAAAGAGTTCTATATTCTAATTGGCACAATCCACAGAATAGTTAATCTACAATACAGTATTCCAAACCAGAGGTGAGCAGAGTGCAGTCCTTGTGTGCAGCTGCCTCATTCTCATCCTCCACCTCCAGGAGCCTTCTGTTGCTGCCGCAGTAACCTCTCAGTGAGATCTGAGAAAAGCAGGAGAGATGGCAGAAGAAACAAAAAAGCCAGCAGAAAAACACTCATCCACCCCATTCCCCAGAGTTAGGTGCCTAGAAAATAATTCCTATGCTGTTTGTTTGTTGGATCAAAGCACATGTATGGCCCAACCACACAGGTAGCATAGGAAGGATGGTATGCTTTCTAATTGGATTGTGCTTTCCTGCTCGTTTCTCCTGTTTGCTTTTCTCAGATCTCAATGCTATGGCAGCACCAAGATGAGAGAGATGAACTAGAGTTAGTAATAGGAAGAGGAACAGAGAACGAGTATGTGCCTGTGATGAAGAAAGAGAGTGACTGGAAAAGAAAATGGATGGATGGTTTGTGTGTCTGTGTAGAAGAAAACAAATGGAGAAGGTAGTGTGTTGTCCAATGAATGTTGTGCACAATTTATGTCAATTTCCAAAAATTGATTAATGCTGTATGTGCTACCTGGGGACAAAATAAGATAGGGGAGGGGGGGTTAGGCTGTGACTGGAAATTCACATGACATGGAGGCTTCTGGAGGTGTGATTCTGCCTTTTCCATGGATCATTTTCAGCAATGAGGAGTTCTGGGGATCACACAGCAGGCCTTGGTGGGTGTATATAGACTTTGGACTGCATAATCCTTATTCCTAGTCCTAAACACATAAATGTAAGCTAAAAATCTGCTTGCATTTGAATCCCTGATGAACAGCACTCATTCATATGCACCAATGGTGCAGAGGAGCTGAAAGCCACTTTTAGCATTATGGGTGAAAACAGCACCACTTAACATAAAAGTTGTTTCACATATTGTAAGCAAGGGAAAAAAAGAAGCTTCTGCTTTAAAAAGCAAATGCATTTGTTAGGTATCTTATTATTTATTATGCTCTAGATGCTACTGAGTGCTGCATGAGAATGAGTTTATGAATTATTTTGTAGTTAAATACTGCAGAGACTAATCCCTAGTTAAATTATTGAACATTTGAGTCTTTCAGAATTCTTAAATAGTATATGATTAACCCACCATATTTTAACTACATCAAACATGGAAAATTATTTGTATTGATTAAAATTGTGCCACATACAGCTTTTTTGTTTTATGAAAACTACTCTAGAGTTCATAATGAAAGTTTAGGAAAAACAACAGTACATGATACATACTTAGCAGTTTGAGCCTTAAAATCATATATTGCTCTAGCTGGCACTCTCTGAAAATGGAGAGAAAGAAAGTTAATCCACACGATATATATTAACAGTCAATCCATTTGATTTTAATAGTTTCAGATATGTGCTTTTTCTAACAATAAAAAATAAAAGATGGTTCCAAAGTCACTTATTATGCTTTCAATATTCTGATTACAATTTCTAGCCCCCTACAGCATTGTGGCTTCATCCCTGTTCAGCTGTCTGATACCTCTGGCTACTAGACATGTGAAGAGACTATCTAGAACACTAGTTCTTAACCTTTGTTACTCAGATGTTTTTGGACTGCAACTCCCAGCAGCCTTCACCATCAGCTCTGCTGGCTGGGGTTTCTGGGAGTTGCAGTTCAAAAACACCTGAGGAACAAAGGTTAAGAACCACTGAACATGGGTACTAGCCCTCTGAAAATAAGAAAAGTTCTGATGGACCAGAACAAAGCAGTGGAAGTTGGTGACTGTGATATCAGTGGGGCAGTGACTCTTCTCTGGGTTTCAATCCAAATTTCACAGACCTATCCAGGGTGCTGAACCATGTCCCCCAAACAGGGTTCAGTGCTTTGGATAGTTCTTTTAAAGTGGATGCAAAAGCCTTGAGTGGGGATGCTGCCCCACTGACATCAGAGCCAACAGCCTCCCATGGACCATGGACCAAAGGTCCCTATATGTCAACCTTCCATTCCCATAGTGACCACCAAGGTGCCTATGGGAAGCATAGTGAAACCAACAATCCACCCTAATACCCTCAAAACTCACTCATGTTGCCTTGTAACTGGTACCAAGAGAGTTTCTGACTTTCACAGTGGGAGAGGAGAGAGATATAGCCATTATGATGTGTAGGCACTGACATTCTTCATGAATTTGTCCCATTGAAAGTCATCCAAATTGGTGACCCTTTTATTTAGGGATAGGAAATTGCAATCAGCTGTGTGAAGTGCTGTGGACAAGAAGCACCTCTTTTCACTTGTCCTGAATTTCTCACCTTTTAGTCTCCTGGTATCTTATCCACATTCTTCACACCATGTATCAATTGTACACAAAGCTTGGAAGTAACGATTTGTAAGGAATGAATGGCTGGAACAACTAATGAAGCTATAAAGAGGTTACAATTCTAAAGTAACAAGATGGGTAAGAATGACATAACAAGACTTTGGGGGGAGAATGGAATGAGTAATATTTTTGAGCCATTTTACGATGGAGCCATGGCAGTTGAAAATGGTATCAAACTGGCATAAACATGCCATGTGCATTCTCTCAGCAGAGATATTCCCCCCATGCCAAACTGTGAGACAAGGGGTGAGGGAGTAGAAGCTCTCACCAGAATGTTGTCCTCCCTCAAGGAGGAGGAAGAGGTACAGACTGACCTGCCTACACCACCCGTAAAGACCATGCAATGGGGAGTTGACACCTGAGAGTTAGAGCGGGAACTGTCAAAGATGACGGTGGCCACTCAGACCGGGGAAGAACTGGTGAGAAGAGGAGAAAGGGGGAGGTCCGTCACAGAGGCGGGAATGGGGGATATAAAAGGAGAGGTGGATGTGATACCATGGGGTTGGGAGTTGATCTGGGTGGAAGACCCATGGATTGGAAAGTGGGAAAAGGTATGGGTCCCTAGGGAAGAGGCAGATTACCAGAGGAGACGGGGTCTGCCTCCACGCCCTTCATATTGGGGAGAATTGGAAGCCTGGGAGTGGTGTCGGAAACTCTGGGAAGAAAAGGAAGCTGTGGAGAGGGAAGAGAGAGAGAGGCGACTATGGCATCTAGAAGAAGCCCGGAGGAGGGGGGTTCTTGATGGACCGTGGGCTCCCACAAAGGAGAGGAGGACCCCTTTCCACCCGAGTGGAGAGATGAAGAGACCACCCTGCTATTAGAGACAGAGAATGAACCTGGCGTCTTAGAGAACAGTAATCCCTTTATGAAGGGACCTTGGACTAATTTGAATTAGAATCCGTTCGAAAGAGACGTTTGGATGCCCTTGTGGGACCCATTGGTCACGAGAGATAACACTGAAGCAGAGATTGATCACACGGATCTGTTGTCCCATTTTACAATAAAACTGAGTTCTGATTTTCAAAAGTGGATGCCTCCAGTGTCTCTGTTAAAACCTGAGGAGGCAAAGTTTGAACCCTCACACAAGCTGCCTCTGCTTTCAGAGTGGAATTCTTATCAGTGCCAATAGCTGCTTCCTTCGTACAGCAAATGATAGTATATGCTTGGAACAGGGGCAGCAAAAATCACACAGACCCCAAACATAATGCCCCAAATCCTATAGAGGTTCACAGAGAGATTGTGCAAGTTGCTACAGCTAATTGTGGCTAATTAACAAGGCATCAGGGTGCATGACAGGCATGTTATCAGGCATGTGACCTGACATCTTGTCAGTTAGCCACAATCAGCCACAACATCTTATGTAATATCTCCACGAACATTAATAAGATTTTGGCTATCGTGTTTGACCCTCAGATATGGAAGTATGAATGCCACTAGGCCTCAGAGAATTACTTTCTTCTCTTTATTTTTCCACCCCTATAATTTCTCCCCTGTTCTAGTTCAATTGTGTTTACAATTTTTAGTTTGATTTGTTTTTTGTAGCATCAGGGCATTAAAATGCATTGTAAGTCCCTCTGTATATTACTTCAGAGAAGCTCTTTTGAGTTCAAACTCTACTGAATTAATCATACATGTTCTTTTAACTACCTCTCTCTCTGGAATTCCTCTTCTTTCTTTTGGAGCACTTCGACCCACATCAGTGAAAGCAGAAGAATAGTTCCCAGGAGACTCCTGGTCTACTGAAAATAAAACACCATCTTGTGACAAAACCATGAAAAAGTAATCCTGCTGGGTATTCTTTCAAGGTATGCTACAACATATGCAAAATGCAAGTCTAAGGCAAAACAAGAAACACATAAAAAGAAATTAACAAAAACAGACAAATGGAAAACATGTGAAAGTTTTTCCCCTAATATTTCAACTGTTCTTAAACTGAACTTGTAGGTTTCAACAACAAAACAAGACCAGGATGTGTTCCCTTGTTCTAATATATACACCACTGACTTGAGCAGCTACAGGATCAGATGCATAAGATACAGAAAATGCAACGGGAAAGAAAAGCATAGCAATGAATCATAAGACATGAAACACATGCAGGGGAATGTGCAGAAAGCATGCCACAATGATAGGAGGAGGAACTAGGCATTTTTTTCAGGCTATTAAAATATATATATGCATTTTAAAATAAACTTGAGATTAGACTAGACATTTCCTCAATGATGATCTATTTTGGTTTTGTTTTTCTTTAAGAAATAGAAGCTGCAGGTAAGGTGGGATCTGGAAGAGACCTGCAGTGTCTTGGCTTCTTCTGGTGCTATCTTCCTCTTAAAAATATCTTTCCTGTCTGCTCTTTGCCCCTGAAAGTGCCATTACCTGCAATGGAATCATTGGCAACAAAGAGCAGCCGGGGAGATAGGCAGTGCTTCCCCTGTTCAAAAACAAAAACTTGCCATCAAGTCAATTCTGGTTAATGGTGTTCCTTTCCATGGTTTTCTAGATATAGAATACTCACAACTGGTTTACTATTCCCTTTTTCTAGGGGTGTTCCGGACTATCCAGCTTGCCCAAAGCTGCAAGGCTGGCTCTTTTCCCAAGAGGCAAAATGGGGAACTGAACTCCCAACTTCAGCTCCACCAAATTCACTGGACTAACGTATACAGACAGACACATTGTACTGTAGTGGTATAGGCTATGCACCCTAATTATTCTAGCATACCAATATGTTGCTTTGTCCTGCCACTGAAAAACGTCTGTACCTCCTCTTGGTTGAGGAGGGCAATATTCAGCAGAAAAATGACACGGGATGAAGGCAACAGACACTAGAGATTCTACTAACCTATGGCCATTATTTCTAAAAGACAAAACCTATGGATTAGATATCTGTATGGCAAATATATCACCCAAGCCTGGTCTAAGAAACTCTTAGTGTTGCACACTTGCAGACCTTTTAAAGCTCTTGCGCTGTCATAATTCTTTCTTCTGAAAGTCCCTTTCGTTGGAATAACTTACAAAATATACTTGGATACAATCTTAAGCACGCCTACTAGGGAGCAACTCTTACTGAACTCTGTAGGATTTTCTTTTGGGTAAATATAATGTACTTAAGGTTGTTTGTATAACATTTAGGAATACAAAAACACCCTGTTTTAACTAACTTTGAGAAAATACTGTTCCTAAATCTCTTCCGAAAAATAAAGACCACACTAAGTAGTATATAAAAGCAACCCTCTCCTCTAGCTATTCTAATTTTTTGCTACTTGTATATAACCACTGATTGGAAATCAGCAAAGATAATAGAAATTATCAGCCTGCTGGTGTTGCTAAATACTGTACAGTGGACCCTCAACTTACAGACAGCTCGACTTACAGACTTTTTGAGTTACAGACTTCTCTGGCTGCAAAATTTAGGTTCGACTTGCAGCCAGAGAATCGACCTACAGACCTGAAAAAAACCAAAATGGAACAAAGATGGAACAAAAATGGCCGGTTATGGATTAATTGATTTTCAATGCATTGTAGGTCAATGGAGCCTCGACCTACAGACTTTTTGACCTGCAGCCACCGTTCCAATACAGATTAATTCCGTAAGTAGGGGCTCCACTGTATTTTTCCACCTACGGAGCTAAGTCAACTCACAACCTCTATCAAGCCAGTTAAGGAAACCTGACCACTTAGTTGTCACTCCTGTATGGGAAATTGCATATATCCTACATATTTCAATGGCTTGAAATCCTATTGTTCAGTGCACTAACTCACAACTAGAGAAGGCCCACTGAATCAGTTCCATTGATTCAATGGTCCTACTCTAGTTGTGACTTACTACTCTATTCAACAGGATTTCATCCACTACTTGCTGCATGTCATTAAGGCAGGCATGTCTATCCTGTCATATGTACATGCAGCAGGAAGGACACGGCACCTGACCCATTTTGCACATAACAGTAAACCACCTTTTGTTGAAGCCGTAGCAAACAAGCTCTCACACTCTCTCCTTCTTCCCCCTTACAGCTTGGCCATGTTTCTCCATCTTTGTGTCTGAAGTAGGTGACCTCTGTACAAACTATGGCTTAATGATGAGGTACTGGGACACAGCTTGGCTGCGCAATTAGGTGTGTGACCAGGCATATGACTGAGATATGCCACAACACATTGTCAGTGACCTACAATTAACAATAGCAAGTTACACAAACCTTATTCAAAGACCAATAGGATTTTGGACATAGTTTGTTAAAGAGCCACAATTATAACCATAATCTGAATCTGGCATTCGCTCCAACAATCCATAATTTAAATTAATCACAACCCTCCCAAATTGACCATAATAGGAAACTACAGTTAGGTTAAAAGCAGAGGTGGAGGCTTCCAAACTCCTCCTTCCGCCAAACAGGAGGAGAGGTGAGTACTGCATGTGAGTAGAAGCTATACTGCTACTCAAGCAAATTACACAAAATTATGGTTTAGTGTTATGCACAAACAAAGCCACTGTACTGTTTCATGTTTCAGAGCATGAGCCTATGTTATCAGTGTAGATTGACTTCTAAATAATAAGTTAAGCTAAGTTATATATAAAAAAAACATGGAATTGCTACAGCAACTGTAACAATACTCACCTTGTCTTTGTTCTGTGGGGTTTGTGCCTCTCAAAAATGAATGGAGGCATATTAGAGTGAATACAGAGATCTAGTTCTGTTTAAGTGAACAAAGTGAAGACATTTTTCCCTTTTACAACAGAATGGTATCTCGAAGCTAGCAAGAACTGATATTTAAAACAAAGGTTTGTTGTATTGTCCAGTACTATAATTTCACAATACAACTCTTTATAGTCAACTATCAGGGAAATCTTTATTCTGTTCATAGACAGTTTCTCTTCTTCAGAAACTCTGGATATGTAATTTAGATCAATTCTTTCTTTTGGGGGTGGGGGATCTTATGAACTGTTCTGTGCCTAAACCAGTGACTGCTGTCAGTAATGGACTGGATGAGGGCTAGCAAACTGAAACCATCCAGACAAGATAGAGGTGCTCCTGGTTAGTCAGAAGGCAAATTAGGAGGTAGGGATCCAGCCACTACTGGAAATTTAGGTTTTACAACTTAGGCGTGCTCCTGGACTCAACCCTGAGCTTGGATGCACAAGTCTCAGCAGTGGCCAGGAATGCTTTTGTACAGTTAAAGCTGGTGTGCCAGCAGTGCCCCTTCCATGAGATGTCTGATCTGGCAACAGCGACACATGCCTTAGTGACATTTTGTCTGGACAACTACAACATGCTCTACATTAGGCTGCCTTTGAAGAGTGTACAGAAAGTTCAGCTGCTGCACCCAGACTGCTGACTGGTGTTGGTGATAAGGAGCACGTAACTCCCATATTACAATAGTTTCACTGGCTGTCGGTCTGTTTCTGGGCTCATTTCAAAGTGCTGGGTATTACCTATAAAGCCCTATACAGCTTGGGTCCAAGCTGTTTGAAGGATTGTATCACCTCATATGAGTCTTCTTGGCTTTTAAGAGCTTTTGGGGAGGCCCTTCTCTCAGTTCCATCAGCTTCCTAGGCTCCTCTGGTGAGGACATGAGAGAGGGTTTTCTCAGTGGCTGCTCCCAGGCTTTGGAATGCACTGCCCCTCTCTCTTGTCCTTTCACTGTCAGGCAAAGACTTTCTTTTTTCAGCCATGCTATAAAGCAATAAGTGGGGGGGGGGGTCTAGGAAATGCTCCATTTAGGAAAGTTAGATATTTTAATTGTTTTTTTTTTAAATCTCGTACAATGTTTAATTTTTTTTAGTATATAGTTTTAGATACTTTCTAAACTTATTATTATCATACAGTTTTAATTGTTGTGAGTCACCTTGGGTCCCCTATAGGGAGAAGGTGGCATATAGATAATATAGATATATAAATAAAATAAACTTAATTTTCAACACTTTCACATTTTAGAGGTCTGTGTAACGATTTGTTTTGGCATTGTAATGTAGTGTTTTTATGATTTAGAACTGTTTATTTACATTGTTTACTGTATTATTTTTAAGGTTGTTAGCCGCCTAGAGTGGTCCTCGCTTGACCAGATAGGCGGGATATAAATAAAATAAATAAATAAATAAAATAAATTGATAACAAAATACAATGTTTTCCTTTAATTGGTTGGTCCATTAATTGGATTGTTTGTGCATAAACAAATTTCACACAACCCTACCTTTGTTATCACTGATCCTTTCACTCTTACAATATTTTGCACAAGACACACTTGATTTCTAGCCTGTATAAAAGTACACAATATAAATGCAATGACAGCAGGCTGGAAATGAAAGGGAAAAGGATGAATGACTGGGTCACAAGGATAAAGAAAAGGAGGTAATCCACCTTGGAAACACAGTGCACTATCATTGTCTTGACTGCTGTGGTTGGTTGTATCCTCGTCTTGGTAAGAGGCACTAAGAGGTAATCTTCCACATTCATTCTGGTATAAGGGGCAATGAATAGCACCATCTTGAGGCAGTGGATGTAAAGGCTGGTGCACAGGACTCTTTCTAAGAGCTTTAAGGGAAGAATTCCTTTCAGGAATGTCTGGAAGCAATTCAGAAATAAGTCTGTGCAATATGCTGTTGTCAGGTAAGCTTCCCCTTCTTTTTTCTGCTTTGATTTGGTCACAGATATCCTTAAGAGCAGAGTCCAGAGCATCAAAAACAGATGATTTGCATTTAGTCTTTCCTGACTGCTTTTTTGGGGCAGTGTTCTTTTTCCTGCGAAAAGGCACTGGGCTGACTAGGAAGGCTATCTTGGAGAGGCCAGAGTCAGAGTCTTGCCTTCTAGGTTCTTCTAGAGTAGGTTCCTGTTTAGCCCTTTCATGCTTGAGCATCGTAGTGAAGCGGGTATATGACGCTGGGCACCTCCCTTTGCAGGAGCTGATGAGATGCTTGTGATGGTGGTGGTGGTGATGGTGGTGATGATGGTGGTGGCCTGACCCATAAAAGCTTTCTGAAGATGTAAAGGAAAAGTGGTCAAAATCACTTTCACTACAAAAAGATGACCCTTCTATCTGTATGAAGTCACTGAGGTCTGAGACCACCCCATCCTGGTCACTGTCTGAATATTCCAGATGAGATCTTTGTGGCTCCTCACTCGTCACTTCAATGTGAATTGGCACCAGAGTTTTAGGTGTGAAATTCCTTTGTCCCTGAGCAGTGTGTCTGTCTTGATTTTCTTCTTCCAGTAAGGACTCAATAGAAAACCGCCTGTTTGCACAGAAACCATTTTTAGGGGGTTCGAGGAGGCTTGCTGCGGATAATGCTTCTTCCCCTAAGTTTGGCATGGATTTTGATTTCTGAATTAGCTTTTCAAATTCGGATATGCGGTTGGGAACCATGTCTCTTGGCACCTCCTCGGTGGAGGATTCTTTCCAGCTCTGTAACAGGTCTGCAGGCTGCTCTTTCTCATATTGCAATACTCTAGATTTTACAGAACAAATCACTTCGGAATTGAGCAAGTCCTTGCGATTGATGCGGTGCATCCTCCTATACATTTTCAGGAACCCCGGAGCATCGTGTGCAGATCTATGTCGTGCCCTTGACCGACTGGAACCCTGGCTTTCGGAGGCCCAAGTAGGGGAAGAACCATCTTTGGAATCTTCTTCACAAAGTAGAGTTACCATGCTTTCAGATTTATTCTGGGCACTGGGAAAGCTACAATGATCATCTGCTAGCAAGTCATCGCAGCTGCGAGATTTCCGCTTGGGAGAGGAGGTCTCTTCGGTGCTACTCCAGACTTCTGCATTTTGACGGGCCATCTGCCAGCCATTCTTGTACATGACAGCCCTTCTTGAGTCACCTGGGACAGACAAACGTTGTCCGTAGGTCCTACAGTAATCTAATTCATTGGAGGCGCTGTGGTTGGGCATTGAGTAGTTGGAAAGGGATGAACAGACTTTGCTAATATCCCCACCTTTATAATCCACAGAGCAGCATGGTGAAAAAGAGACATTGCCAGAAATTAACAGATTCAAAAGCAGATAGGAGGAAGAATACAATCAGCATATGGCAGAAAGAACAGAGGAGACAGTGGTTAGTCATCCTATTGTAGTTTTAAGCACTAATACTAGATACCATAGCATAAAAGATGAAAAACAGATCAAAATATTAGATTTAGGGTGCAATTCCTATAGAAGCTAACTTACCTGCAAGTAAGCCTCATTGAACACAATGGGACTTACAGTACTTTTGATCATTTTAATTTCACACCAAAGAATAAATATTACAATAGACATGCACAGAATTACATTGTTAATCATTTACCATCTAACAAACCGTATCCTTCTATCAGTCACTAAATTTTTAATACTATACACAGATCAACGTGATCTAACCTTTTCTTAACAAATATCTATGGGTCTATACAATGATCACTTGTCAACTCATAAGGAAAAATAGGTTGTATCAAGAGACAAAACAATCCACAGAAATACACCAAATTAGGACTGAGGCCTAGAAACTAACTTCTTATCTTTCCCATTCCTATGTAACATTATGAACTCAGCTGAAGACAAAGGCTGCTGTTTAGTACAGTGAAAAAAGCGGAAACTCCTTATAAGAAGCACTAGGGGCTTCAGGCAGAGGGAATAGACAAATGATAATCTAGAAGGATTTTCTCCATCTCACATCCACTGCCTCAAGTTGCCACCTTGATGGTCTTGACAAAGACTTCAGCTACTGAAGATACATTCAAAAGTGTCCTTAATGAGAAGTCTTGAATTCAGACAAAGAGCTTTTCCAAATGCATTAAAATGTTTAGGAGCATGCAAGCATCAAGGGGCACTACAATGGTGCCTCGCAAGACAAATGGCTCACTGGGCAAAAAACCCGCAAGATGAATGGTTTCTGTGATCGTGTTGGTGACTAGCAAGACGGCTTCTTCTATGGCCGTGCTTCGCAAGATGATTTTTTCCCACAAGACCGATGCCTCGCAAGACAAAATAATTCATTCGTCTTGCGAGGTTTCCCATAGGAATGCATTGCATTCCTATGGGAAACGAATTACTTTTGTCTTGCAAGGCACCACTGTACTTAATTTTGTTACAATACATCTCGATTTCTCCCCACATATTAAGATTCCTTAACATTAATAAAAAAGTACAATCTTATCAAGAATGCATGTGGGTAATCAAAATGGAATTTAATATTCAGGTAATTTTGAATGCAAACAAATTGTACAGATTCTGCAAATCTCTGAAAATACTCCCTTTGAGATTCAATAGGAGGTGACATCACTTTGGATCTGTTACTACTGTAGCAAGAGAGAGCCATTTCCTTCTGAGTGAGTGATTGGATGGGAAGTACCAAAAGCAATGCTCCCACTGCCATAATTGTAGGTTTTGAAAGCTGAATGGACAGGGTGGGGAAAAAGCCACAGCAAAATGGTCTCTCTGCTGATGTGAGAGCATCTCAGAGCACCAACTAGGAAATATCAGCATTGCTAGCATGGACATGCCAGCCTTTTTCCAGTTCACCCCAATTTCCTTTTTTTAACTACAGCAGAATACAGTACCAGAATCTGAAAAAAAAAAAAAACTTTTTTGGACAACAAATCCCAGAATCCCCTTTGCATTGCTTTATCTGTTGATGCAACCTTTCTCCTATCAATTTCTGAACAGCCATGATTTTCATGATATTCAGAGCTATGATGGATTAGCAACCAATTTTCCATCTTCATTTCATAATTAATATAACCCAAAAATCACTTTTTGGACCACAGCTCTCAGAATTCCCCAGCCAGATTGGCAACACTGGTGTAGAGAATCAACTTTTCCAAGTTTTTACACTATCAGTAATTCTAGTACATAAAAAACAACATTTTCTTATTCATTTATGTGAGGGAGATAATGGTTTGCTAAACAGTGGGAATAATGCACAGTACACCTTTTATATTTATGTCACAATAGGAACATTTCTATTTGAGATTCGTGTCTTGAGTCAAACACGTATGCATAACAGAAAGCATTTTAAAATGTACCATTTTTCTCCCTGTCAAACAAAATGTAATTATGTAAAATGTTAGGAATATTTTATTTTCTCTGAAATAATAATAGTCATTTTCTGTGAAGTCAATTATGACTTACGGCAACCCTTTTCAGGATTTTGCAAGTGGAGAATACTCAGAAGTAGTTTACCATTCCCATTTTCTGAGGAGCCCTAGGACTGTGCAGCTTTCCCAACGCTATCCAGGATGGCTCTACTTACAGGGGGCATAGTGGGGAATCCAACTCCTAACCTTTGGCTCCCCAGCCAAATACCTAAACCACTTGTGTTATCCAGCCAGTGCTTTTAAATAGCTGATTGCCATTAAAACTGTAAGAGGAACGTTTAATTCCTTCTTTTAAAAGAGTCGTCTCAGAAGTTGAAAACACAAACACACACATTCAAAGGTTTTTAAGTTCTTGCCTGTAAATGGGAATCTTGATTTACAACATAGCATTCAGAATCCATCGGTTAATATTTTGTGATTACTACACAGAAAGGAGTATGTAATTAAACTGTTACCTGTTTATACTTGTGCTCATTTCTTACCTTTTGTTCTTGAAGGAGAAGATGGGGAAGAGCTTGTAACAGGTTCCCTAAGTGTAGAATATGTGCCCCGTGTATCTGTACGACCCAAGCTGGTTCGATTGACATGTTGATCGCCCTGTGCCTTCTGATGAGTTACTGCAGGCTCTGACTTCCTTCGTTTTCTATAATCGCTCGCAGTACTTGCAGAACTAAGGAAAGAAGCAATATGAATTCCACTGCCAATGACTTCAACAGACAAGTCCATTAGCCCCGGGTAGTTTAATGACACACCAACAACTAAAAACAAAATTGAACAAGAATATTGGATCATTAAGAAGGGGAGAGCAAACAGTTTAAACATTCTGTTTTGGGCTACAGTTCCCAGAATCCACTTACCCAGTGTGGCCACTTTGTTTTATATTTTCCCATGCCACTGTAAATTTCACACCATTATAACTTCTCACTTGGAATAAACTGGGGTGGGTGCAAGGTAATTGAAGATTTTATTTCATTTGCAGTGTTATGAATAATAAACTAATTTGATGGCTTTGCCTGCTGTGAATTATAGATAATTTATTTAGTATTTAAACAAACCTAAATTTATGTATCTGGATATTAATTATTAGAAAATAAAATATTCAGATTGTGCTCTATAGGCCTGGGCATCAATTTTATTATACACCCCATAGTGCACCAGTAAAGCCAATTTACTAACCAGAAATGTAAATTAGGATTTTTGAACCTCTTCCCTGATTTTCATTTTGTTTTATTCAATTTTAAACAATATAAATAGCAGGATTAGATACACCATGTTTATTTCTGATTAATCTGAATGTATAAGAAATTCATTTTATAGTAATACACACAGCCTTTTATTTAAAGTACCTGTGATTTTAAAAGTAAACCTTATAATGGAGTCCACTGAATTAAGCTGTGCTTTAAAGGACAAATGCAGATTATTAGATATGCATTGAGATGGTACTACCAGTTAGAAGAAAGTTTAAAATTTGCAGAAATTAGGGAAAACACAACACCATGTTGTAGCCTAAAAGTACAGCCTTTAGAAATGTCTTCCTGTAGGATGAAGGTAACAGAGATATTTACTATTGAACGAGTGTTACAGATGACCAAGTATCCTTCTGTTAGAAGGATTTTCTCCTCTGTTTGCATTGATTCAACAAGTTTTCCTTACCTAGAAGGTCGGTCCAGACCTCTGTCTGTTGGACTATAATACAAGGATGTCTGCAGAGACAAACAAACAACTCCATTACACTCTGAATTTCACTGATATTATTCACTACAAATCATATAAATAATGTAAAGGAATTCACAGTCAGGCTAGCATATTCATTTTTTAAACTCCAAGGATCTTGAAGTTCCAAGATCCTTTTCAGACTCCCTATTTCAAGCTGCCAATTTGTTTAAAGGTAGGAAATTATGCCTTGTTAGCCTGTTTCCAAAATAACACATCCTAAGAATTTTACTGTTTAAACTGTAGATGATAAAAAAATTAAAATAATTTTTTAAGAACTCAAAGAATATGGGTCACAATATAATTCCTCAATTACTTACCAAGTTATTAATATCAAATGCAGCTGGAAAATCTACAGAGTAGGTTTCACCAACGTGAAAACTTTTCTTTGCTTAAGAAGTGATGGCGGAATGATAGTTGGGAATGTAAATACTTCAGACTTGTCAATATAAGTCCACTCCTCAGTGACAACTGTTTTTAAATGAGCCACTTAACAAGTGTCAAAGCTTGAGCCAGAATTAGACTCATGTAGTTCTACAGTTTAAGGGAGCCAGAAAAAGAACAAAGTTGTCCTAGGGACAGCCTTTCATGGACACAAGCTGTGCCATTCATATTTTAAACTTAACTTACATTTGGGATATGGAATTTCATATGGTATCTAGAACTGAGAATTTTTTTTTACACTCTGTACTTCTGTTCTTTGTAGAAACGCAAAGGTCTGCTAAAATCATACATGATAATATAACTATAAATTAAAAGGTATCACAGTAAGTAATTCAGTAATAGATTTCATTTGTGCACAAATGAAACTTTATTTTTAATGACTGGCAGCAAAGCTTGGTAGACTGCATTCATTTATACTTTTTTAAACATGGCTATATTAGAAGTTTGGATTTTGACAAAAACTCTATGAACATGCCTCTAGACGTCATCCTTGAGCTAGGACTAGAGATGGGGGTATTCGTATTTGTATACGAATACGAATATCCCTGTGTACGTGGAAATAACAAGGGTCCGGCCCCATGGGGCTGGACTGTTCACTCATGATTTCACTGCTCCTGCCAGCTCTGTGGAGGCTTCCTATCACACTGTTCTCTTCCGACCTAGCAGAGAGGCTTGTCATCCCGCCTCCTGCCAGGACTGGGTAATCGATTGTGGACAACAGCACGATAGGAAGGTCTGACGATCTAGCATCAGTGGCAAAATAGTGAGTGGACACTCTGACCCCATGGGGCTGGACTGTCATTACTGCCACCTGTGTGGGGATATTCGTCTCTGTATACAAATATGAATACCCCTATCTCTAACTAGCACACTTTGTGAAAGGAATTTTACACAACATTCATGGATTCCACATTCTAACAAGACTGGACAGCTATATTTCTGTCTTCTCATCACCTTCTCACTGTCCAGCAGGGTCCAGAGAGAGAGAGAAAGTAGAGGTAAACCTTGATACTTTGGCATCTAACTGTAGATATCAAAGTTCAAACTTCAGATTGTCCAGATGCAAAGCCTGGTGTGCACTGCTGTGTTATAACACTTCCTCAGCAACAGGACACAGAAGCAATTTGTTATTTGTAGATAAAATCTCTCCAAAATATTTCTTGGCAACACTTTTCAAGTGCTATATACATTTCCACCTGCATCCTTTGACAAGCAAGCTATGCAGGGAGTCTGTATTAACCAACCCACACATTCATTTACAAATATTACAAGCCAGAGAGAGTGTGTGTTAACACTAAGAATAACAGCCACAAAATTGGTTTGACACCTTGAACAACTATCAGTATTAATTGAACCTTTTCTTAAAGCATAGTGTTAAGAAATAATGAATTTAAGCAGATGAATGCAGACGAAGATTTAAATGGACTAGACTGTGTTTTAAGTAGGATAATTCTAGTGGGGCCTGCAGAGAGAGAAAACACTTTAGAATAAGAAAAAATTAAAAACTTGATTTTATTATAATTTTATTGAAATTATTTCAATATCATTCAACACTCCTAATAGAACTGTGTCTGCAGAACTGTTTTGCACCCAAATTATTTAGAATACAGTTAGCTATTAGTGAGGATTTGGCATTTTGTGAGTTAAGTCTTATTTTTAAAAAATGTTTTATTTAAAAGAAAATGGATTTAGAGCAGCTGAAATGGTCCTTGGTATCTTTTTCTCTAGTTTTTCCTCTTAATTAAAAAATATTCTAAAAAGGGGGAGTCTCGTGGCACAATGATTAAACTCAGGGCTGAATTAAGACTTTTATACATCCTAAATGTTATGGTGCTACGGATGAATATAACATGTGGTGGGGACCACAGCTTAAAAAAAACATATAGTGCATATATTATATGTATGAAAATACAGTAATTGTATAGCATGTGGAAAAAAGAACCACATATTGTATGTAAAATCATATGGACAATCAAATTATCAGCTTCTAGCCAAATCTTGCACTTTTATGCTTTGATTAATGTAGACAGATTTTATCAGAATCTGTAAACTGAAAGGCTCAAATAAGAGCTTAAAACTAGACATGGGGATGAATAAAAAAAGAATTGCAATATTCATGGAAAATTGCTGATCCATTAAATATTCATCCCTTCATATTTGGATGAATAGTTCCAGGTAAAGGTAAAGGTTCCCCTTGACAATTTTTTGTCCAGTCATGTTCGATTCTAGGGGACGGTGCTCATCCCCGTTTCCAAGCCATAGAGCCAGCGTTTTGTCCAAAGACAATCTTCCGTGGTCACATGGCCAGTGCGACTTAGACACGGAAC